GTTATTACCCAGTTCATAGAAACCCATAAACCCAAACCCAATTTCTGAGCAACCCCTAAACACTAAAACCCTAAACCAATTTCTTACAAATCCATACACCATAAACCAAATTCACAAAAACCCCAAATTTCAAAGAAAAGGTTTGTGAACAGTACCTCGTGGATGTCAACGATGGAGTTAAGCTTGGATGAACAGCCACCGTTGAGGGAGAAAGACGATTGCGTCGAAGAGAGAGATATTCACGAGGGAGAGAGACAGGCCGAAGAGAGAGAGCAAACAGAGTTAGAGAGATAAGCCAATTTCTGAAAAACTGATATGGGTACAATAAGTGGGCAATAATTTTATATTTAAAGGTGTTAGTTGTAAAAAAATTGGGAAGGGATGGTATTTTTAGTTAAAATTAGCAAAAGGGTGGCATAGAAGGCTATTTCCCTAAAAACAATAGAACCACATGACATATTTGGTTAGTTAAAATGCGGTCACAACATCTACGTCATCTCAATCTATAGCCCCTAGAGTTGCTACTTTTGTGTATACCCGGATGTGAAATTTTACAATTCAAATTGCCTAAAACTAATCCTGATCGTTGATGTGGATATTGACAGGACCTGACCTAAATTCCACTTTGGAATCCGAGTCGAACCCTGTGTGTAACAACCCGATCCGAAATCAATTTTTAATTATTAATTTATTCTGAGAAAAGACTATTTTGCCCTGTAATATTTTATTAGTATCAAAGTTGTATTTTTGACCGGGAAGGAATTTTGAAATTTAGACTATATAGTTGCTTAGATCGCATCGAAACAAGTCCGTAGACACGTAGTGGGCCCAAATCCGAGTTGTATCGAGAAAGATACGATTAAAATACTAAAAAGGGCAAAATCGTAATTTAGCAAAAATCAGATTTAAAGATTAGATTCTCTCTCTCTCTCTCCTCTCCTCCTCCCCCCCTCCCAAACGGCTTCTCTCATGCCACACAGGCCAGCCACATTTGGCTAGCTTCCAGGAAAGTCGTGGGACTAGTCGGAAAATGACCAGCATCAGCTGGCGAACCCGTCTAGGCTGGAGCCCGCAACCTCAGACCGCTAGGCCACCGTCAAGAGCCGAAGAAGACCGGTTCTTCTTCAAACTTTCAGATGCTATTTCCAGCAGCTCCAGCGACGGAATCCATTGATCCAAGTATGGTTTCTCACCTCCTCTACGAGCTCTAGTTGATGGTTGGGTAGGATTTGATCAATTTCTAGCCTAGATAACATGATGTGTAACTTAGGTTTTGGTCAGTTTTCCAAGTGAATTTTTGGCCACTTGCCATCCGAATTGGACGTCGCTGCAGTTGAATAAAGTGTTCCACACGTCAAGTAGTAGTTATAGCTAGAAGGGTGGCCCTTGGTTTTGAGATTTTTTGGCCGCCGGTATCGCTTAGTCACACACGTGCTGCCGGCACGTGCGAGCGTGGCCCGGGCTTTGGATTGGATTAGGGTTTTAGAATGATCTCTTGGTCCTCACTAGCGTGTAGGTACTTTCGGATTTCAATTCGGACAATGTTTGAACCCCGAATAGATCTCGCCTATTGTGCGATTTTCGGGTTTGATACGTTTGGACCGTTGGATCGTAGTCAATTTCATATATGTAGATCTATGTAATTTTAGGATCTTATAGGATTTGACATATATAGAACGGAGTCTTGAAAACTCTGGAAATGCCAACCCTAGGGTTAGGTCTATAGTAACTGTCCGATCATGCGATCGTGAGTAATCCAACTGTCCGATCGAGACCAAACTTTCAGGACATGTGTCCTAGGCATATTGGAACCTTTAGGGACTCCCAAATTAGTGATCGAAGGTCATGGGCCCCGTGGGAAGGTTGACCAAGTTTAGGCGATTTGACCCCTCGATTGACCGTGAGTCTTTCAAGGTAGTTATATCGTTTGAGAAGCGTTAAAATGACCATGTAAACGAGTCCTAACCGAGAATGAGTTATCTAGGTCATGTTGCAGATTGAGTATAGACAGGTATTTATAAATTGCTAATGTACTCGGTAGCTGAAAATGATGAATCATGGTCCTTGGTTTGTGGTTTTAAGTGTAGATGAGAATCAATTTATCAGATAGTTGATATAAAGGTCAAGAAATTAATTCTGAAATAAAGGGAAAGTATTGATATAAGTTTGGGATATAGTTTTTCAAACCCATCACAATAGTAGCCCCTAGTTGCTTTGAAACAGTGTCATTTATAAATAATGCCCCAAGTGTTTTGGGAACCCCTAAACCGTGCGCAACGAGGAATGAGGCTTAAGCTGGCCAACGGTCCCCTGAGGCCTACGAGGATTGCGGTTCAAATAGAAGTGGTATCTCCGAGACCTGCGAGGATTGCAGCTCAGATAGAAGTGGTATCTCCAAGACCTGCAAGGATTGCGGCTCGAGTAGACTTGGTGTCTTCGAGGCCTGCGAGGATGGGGTTGATGGTATTAATGGAATTGATGGATCAAGAATAGGGATACGCCTAGGTGGAGAGAATTTCAATTATAAGATGTTCTTAAACTAAAATAGAGGGAGCTCAATGTATGACATATTTATATTCAGTATATGACTGATATGAGTATTAGGAAGAACTACGTGTGGCCCGATCCTTCACTAAAGGTACGTAGGCAGGCTAATGTTACAAAATGCAGCCACGAGTTGGAGTGTTTGAGATTGCTAAATGTACTATTGATGTTTTGAAAGTTGAGATGAATTTTATTAGCAGAATGGCTTATTTGATTTGTTGAGGCTTGAGGCCAGAATGATATGATCCTTGATTGCTTGAATATAATTTAGTGCATGCTGAACGATTGGGATATATAAATGTTTGTTGACAGGTGGAAACTTTTGGGAAACAAGAAAATTACAGGGGAGACTTTGCCGAATTTTCGGTAGAAGTCTAGCTGATAGATAAATTGGTTTCTAGTTAGAAGGGCAATTTGATCATTTGTGCCCTGCAAAATTGTAATTTCACAATTCAATAAATTAAATAGATTAAATATCTGATCAAAATTGGGTCGGGGTTTCACTTTTTTTTCCTTCGTCTTTTCTTCTTTTTTTTGTGCTGGTGCAGCATGGCCCTGGGTTGGATCAGGTAGACGAGATGGGCCTTGTGCGCTGCACTGGCCAAGGTTGCACTAGATTGGCGTTAGGCTTGACTAGCTAGGCCTCGTGTAGTGCACAAGCATGGCATTGTGCTTGTTGCTCCATGCAGCTTGGGGTTGCCTCTGCCTGGGATGTGGGCTTGCAGCTTAGCTGCAAGTTCATGGCTTGGGCCTTTTTTATTTTTTTATTTTTGCTGCCAACTTTTTTTTTTTTTTTTGGTATTCTAACTTGTAGAATTTTCTTCTCATCTTGTAGCTGTTCGTTGATCATGTCTTCTGAAGAGGGTAGCTAGTCACCAAGTTCTCAAGTGCCTTTGTATCGTGGAGAGGCTCCCTAGCTCAATTCAAGAAGTGGCAGGGCCCTTATGCTTCTGCCATTCATGATGATGTGCATGTCAAGCTAATGAAGCCTTTGACTCACGATGTGCCTTGTGTGGATGCAAATGATCCAGATGCTAGGATCATCACCTTCCGTCCCTTTTATTTTTCCTTGGGCTTCACTTTCTAGCTGTCAAAGCTTTTTAAGGAGATGTTCTATGCCATGTAGTGTGCTCTGAGTCATTGCACTCCAAATGTCCATCGAGCGATCATGTGCTTTGAGAATATGAGCCATTTCTTTAAGCTGGAGTTGACAGTGAGAGTGTTCTTCTACTTCTACGAAGTAAGGCACTACGAGATCATGTATGGCATGATGATGTGTTGGAAGTCAGCTGACGGTGGGAATGCGATGTTGGTGACGGTCCACTTGTTCCCATCACCTACTGCAACGGTACGTCATATTGTTGTTTGGATCTGTTTCCTTATTATTTGACTTTCTTGAAGTCTGACTAACTAACTTCTGTCTTCTGCTTGCAGTGAATGACATTTGCAAGAGGTTGGAACTAGCTAGACATGTCTTAAGGTCGGCTGACTGATGAACATCCCCAGGAGGTTTCGCAAGTGCTCTAGCTATTGAGCGAGTATCGGGAGGAGGTAGGCAGTTTCCCCCTGCTCATGATGTCAAGAGATGGAAGCAGAATGGTCTAGATCCTAATGATCTGCCTACTGGACAGGAGGAGTGTTCTACTAAACCCTAAAAAAAGAAGGCCGATGTCAAGTCCTCAAGAAATAAAGGTGCTTCTTGGTGCAGATAACAAGAAGATTAGTTGTATGCGCAATATTCAGAATGTTCCACTCAGCCTCATGCTGACAAGTTTGGAGACCGTGATTTGCTGAAAGGAAAAAAGATGCTGATATTCCTGTTCGAAGTTCAAGTCATCTGCACCAGTCAAAGGATAAAGATCGAATTGGGAGGTATGCTCATCCATCCAACCATCATGATCCAGCTGTTGAGTCACGAGCAGTCATGCGTGAAGTTGATTTAGCATCATTGACTCTTTTGGAGGTGAGGTTGGATGCAACTAAGAAGGCAAGAGAGTCATCTGCCCTGGCAAAAGGTTCTTCTGGAATGCCAACGACTGGTCCCAAGGTGGACAAGTCCAATCTTATAGGGGATGTAGGCATGTCTGATATGCTCAAGACAGACTTTCTGTTAAGCCCGTCCACTTGCATTAAGCTAGTTGATCATATCCATCAGGCCGACGATCTTGATACCTTCTTAAGTCTTTCCTTGGAAAAACAAAGTGAAGCAACATTTCATTTGCTTCAAAAATGAGTAGTTTTTGCTATTGAGACTATCTAGAACTTGTATATTGTTACCCCATCTTCTGCTAAGCTCAGACGAGTTGGAGAAGAAGAATGCTGACTTTACTAGGAAGCTCTCTGTCGCGCAGATTCGTTATGAGAAGAAGACGTCTGAATTGAGGGCGATGATATATGAGCTAAAGAGTTCCCTTCCAGAGAAGAATGGTGAACTTAGCTCTTCTACTGCTAATTTGGTTAGTCGAAAAGATGCCTACTTTTGTCTTGAGCACAAGAATGCTGACATCTTCCTCAGTTATGACAAGCTTCTAGCTAGATTTAGCGTCTATCACAAGTCTACTGAAAAATCCAAGTTTGAAGATATCACGGATGCGTACAAGTTGGGCTACTTGGACTGCACAAATGGATATGACCCCTTCTACGCCATTGGAGATGAAGACATCGAGATGCTCTATCCAGACTTGCCCCAAAGTGAGTAAGTTAATACTG